AGTCGTCAACTTTAACGCTAAATATCTCGGTTCGCGAGGCAGAGCGACACTTTTTTCTGCCAGATTCTTTCGTTTCATGCAAAAACGCGTCGAATGAGCCTAATTTTATCGAAATCGGAGGTGAGGGAGGTATTCTGAATAATTACCATATAATGAAAGTGTTTATATTTTTCTCTACGTGCCCTACTAGTGGAGATATTGCGATGCAAAATCTGAAATCTTTGATTTTATTAACGTTGTCGATCAGACCTGATAAAAAATGTACGGTTCGCTTTTTCGATAATAGATGGCTTTTGATTCTAACCAGCCGATCATCGTTGGCATTATTGGCAACATTGTTGGCAACGTAACGTAACCAGTAATCATACATGACGACATGATGACTGTGACGTGCATGGCGCAAATTATGCAAGATGAAATATCGAGATTAATCGAGAAACCGTGTCTAGGTATTTGCCATCGAGGAATTAAGTATCTAGGTATTCTGCGTGTTTGCCACCGAGGAACTGAGTTTTCAGGTATTTGCTACCGAAAAATTAGATGTATAAGTTATCCAGACAATATCGAGATTGTCATCGAAGAACAGTGACCACATTTATACGGCATCCTTAATTGGGTTTAATAATATCGATGAAAATATATTCAATCGATGCGTTTCGCATAAAAATAAGTAAAATTTTTACAAAAAATGTATCACTCTGCCTCATGAGCCGTGATTATTCATTGAAGTCGACGACTATTCAGGTTGAGAAGTTTGTCACAGCAACGAAATATTGTGATGCAAGACATACAGTGCAGACATTACAGTAAAATTTTCATTTCTTTGCTTTAAAATATAAGAAAGTAACTTGTATTTTTAAAGCAGAAAATATGTTTTAAAGCAGAGGATTTGTTTTTAAAGCAGAAAATTTAACAGTATTTCGTAGCTGTGGCAGAGTTCCTAACCGAGTAACTAGTTGAAATATTATCCAGCAGATTTATTTACATGATTTCGGATACGGTCAACGCGATGCTACAAACGTTTTGAAGCGTTTTTTAATTGGTCAGTTTGCAAAATTCTTTTTTCTAATTGGTTCATTAAACGCTTCAAAGCGTTTGTAGTGAGACTTTGACGACTGCCTTCACATGATTTTATCTGATTACAAATAACTTTTTTCACTATATATGAAGTAATTTGGTAAAATATACGATTTTATTTAATTAATTTTATTATACAATGATTTCTCGTGGTTGCATATGTAATTATCGGATTATACATAGAAATTTCATATGAATTTTATAATGATTTCGAGGACTCTATCCAACGATTACATTAAGTGGTTATCCCCTCATTCCTAACTTGAATAATCGTCGATTTTAACGATTAATATCTCAGTCCATGAGGCAGAACGACATTTTTTCTTATTTACGCAAAAGCACTTCGATTGAGGACTGGTCTCACCAACTCCAATTAATCTAATCGGTCC